GACCAGACAGTCAGCCAGCCTCCAGAGAGGATCAGTTCACAGCAAACTGCCCAGGTGGGTTTCAAAAGCCAAATCAGAATATCACCATGACTTGTTTTGAGAGTTCTGGGGACTCTAGTGCACATGTTTACTTCAAAGAGTAGAGTGAGACTGTGACTGTTCCATCAAGGGAATGCTGGGCATGCGGCTGTCTATCCTAGGGGCTGCGGGGAGACAAGGCCAGACTCTTGGCTTCAGGCAGAGAAGTGCCACTACCAGCCACTTGAGAGGATTCTACCTTATTCAAGGTTACATGCCTTCCCTCCTCAGGAACAGCCCTCACCAATGACTGCCTAATAGAGGAGTGGCACGGTGTGGTCCCCTTGCCTCAATTCAGGACACATATGAAGGGCCTTCCTAGTTCCAGAGCTCCTTGCGAGATCAATCGAGGCCTATGTTGCAACTCCATTGTGGTTTAACTTCTCTCTTTGCCCACTCATGCTTCATTCACTCCCAGAGAGTACACACCCAGATGTCTTGTGTGCAAATTGGTCTCAGAGTCTGTTTCCTGGGGAGCCTGACCTATGATATTCTTCCAGCCCCATCACTCAGTCGTTGAAAGTTCATAAAGAACTCTGATCAGTTCCTCGAGCCGACTAAGCTCTCTCTGACTTATATGTCTTTGTTCATACTATTACTTCTGCCTAGAGCCTTTCCCACATCTCCTCCCTGCTATCCACTTTATGGAACTAACTCCTCTTCATCCTCCAAGTCTCAGCTTCCCCAATTAACCAAGCTCAGATGCCCCGCTTCCATACTGTTACAGCATTCAGTGCTACCTCAATTGCGACATAATTAAATGATTACAATGCATTAATTATGCATCCACGTGATTGTCTCCCCTACTACACTGTATCCTCTGAGAGAGCAAGGAATGTGTCTATCCTATTTGTCACTGTGTCCCCAGTGCATAGTCCAAGACTTAGGACACAACAAGTATTCTAAAATATTTGTTAAATAAATGAATGAAAAGTAGGAAATAAAGAAGCCCTAAGTAAGGAAGTAATCATAGGATGAAAGGAAAAAGGGAAGGGAGCATATTTGATATATATATTTAGGTGGTAAAATTAATAGATTTTGGTGACTGATTAATTGATTAAATAAATATAGAATAAGAATGAGGAAGACTATGGGAGGTGAGCACACAATGTGAATATATATATATATATGCCTTACTGTTAAAATGTTCAGCTGAAACTTAGCAGATTTCGTTAACCATTGTCACCATAAAAAAAAAAAAAAAAGAATGAGGAAGAGTCTAGGATAATGCCTATGTGTCTACAGTTATAAGTAGGTAGAAACTGGTGCTATTTGCTGAGAGAGAATACAGAAGTTTAATTTTGAGTAGAAAGATAAATAGAAATAGCCCGAATTTGAGATTTTTATTCTAAATCCAAGTGCAAGTTCCAATAGGCAGATGGAAGCTGGGTTTGGCACTCAAAGCCTTAGGCCTAGATTGGAAATCATTGTGCATCACTCAAGAAATACCCTTATCAATTAACTTTTTGCCAAGAACATCCTGCAGATCCCCATCAGAGTGTCTCTCCATTTTGTCCTCATGTTGCCTGCTTATGCAACTCAACAAATGCTCATGCCACTTTGCTGGGACTGCCATAACAAAATACCACAGACCGTGTGGCTTAAACAACAGACATTTATTTCTCATAGTTCTGGAGGCTAAAGGTCCAAGATCAAGGTGTCAGCAGCTGTGGTTTCTTCTGAGGATTCTCTGCTTGGCTTGCAGAGAGCTACCTTCTTTCTGTGTCCTCATATGGTCTAGATACCTACACGCCTAGTATCTTTCTGTGTGTCCAAATTTCCTCTTTTTATGATGATGCCAGTCAGATACAATTAGTGCCCATTTTAATGGTCTCATTTTACTTAATCACCTTTATAAAGGCCTTATCTCCAAATACAGACACATTCTGAGGTACTAGAGGAAAATAGGACTTCAAAATTTGAATTTTGCAGGGAGACACAATTCAGCTTATAATGGGTTTATACTTCTTCTCGACCTTACACATCGCTGCCCCAGAGGCAGTCAGCCCAGGTCTCTCCACTACAGCACCAATGTCCAGATGAGCCTTTCCCTCAAATTTCTAAGATTCAGACTTCAACATGTTGTAAAAACAGATGAAAGAAGTGGTTGTTATGCCTAGAATTGGGAAGAGGAGGTAATAGGAAGACTCAAAGGATAAGTAAGAATTCATCGACTACAAAAGAGAGGAATATTCTAGACTGCGGTACCTATGTAAGCAAAGATATCACAAAGTTAAATGTCATAGGGACTTTGGGGACAATTGGATGTGGCTCTTGTGGAGGTAGATGTGGGGGATGGTTAGAGCTGAAGCAAGAATGGATGGCTGAGGCCACATTGTAAAGAGCTTTCCTTCTGGCATAAAATCAGCCAAAGCTTTATCTAAAGAGACATAGATAGGGAATTAGAGCCAGTTCCAATCACTCAGGCAGGAAACAATGTAATTACTTGTAAAAGGTTGGAACGCTGGAGGATGACGTTAAGGCAAAGAGCTATTGGAGTGGGGGTAGGGGCCGGACTGGCGAATAAAAGATAAACAGAAAAAGCTGAGGAAAAAGAGAGGAGAAACAAAAAGAGGAGACATCTTGTTCAGATCTAAATGATGAGTTCTAGTATCCCAGATGGGATTCTGTTGAGTTGGGCTCTGCCTCCTCAGCAAGGCAGAGTCTCTTCCTCACAGACATTCCCAGAGTTGGCCGGTACTTCTCAGTAAAGTGGAGGATACTGGAAGCAGAGAAGGCTCTAGAGGTCAGGGGGTCAGGTAATATGGAGGCACAGCAGGAAAAGGACCACTAGGTATGAATTCTAAGAGGACCTGGGAAGCTGGGTGAGATCCGCCTCGGGGCGGGGGCGGTGCTGATTGGTTGGGTGTTAATATGTCCAGTTCTAACTGGTCATTCAGGGAAAAAGTCAATTCAGGGTGAAGAGGAATTTTCCATTCAAAAGGCTAACCTTATAATCAGCTATTTGTTCTGCTTCTGTAGATATGTTTGCTGCATAGGCCAAAGGGCAGGGTGACCTCAAAATTATCTAAAGACTCATCCTCCCTTTTGCTTGTTCTGTCTAGATAATAGATATATTGCCTGAGTTCCTGTATGAAAATCTCAGGCTCTGTGACTGCCTGTAACCCATAGCAACTCCCGTGGTCTCTAACCACCTGAGGACAAATTAACCAATCAGCCCATGCCAACTGTAACAGTGCAGATAAGCCCTATAAAAGAAAGGTTGCTCCTGAGCTTGGGACCCAGATTTTCAGAGCACTCTCTCTTCTGGGACCACCGGCATAATAAACATGAGTTCTCCAACTCTCCGAGTAGTGCTTGGTTTCTCGCCGGTCTGATTTTTCTGCAGCAAGGGCTGGGCTTATAGATCAAGGCCTAACAACCTAGATCCTTGGTAGTGGCTGTCAAAGGGCTTATGTTCCCTCTCTCAGAGTAGAAGGATGGGGCATTTGCTGAGGAGAAAAGGGAGGTCACTGTGCTTGGTCACTATCCTCACTAGTGAGCTTATAAGCAGTGGTCAAGGCCAGAGGTTAAATGTAAGGAAGGCAAAAGAGCCAAGATAATGATTTTATCCCAACTGCAGGTTAAGGCTCAGCAAGTCATCCTTTTGTTTCTGTTGAGTAAGGCTTGCTCTGAATGAATGATGGCCAGAGTTGGCTACTGTGTGTCAGTTAAAGCTGTGACTACCTCCAAGGTGAGTTTAATTTTTCTTTATGAAACCTTTGGTTACAAGAATGTGAGGGTTTCCACTCTGGGTACACCCACAACTCATCGATTCTAATAGATTAGGGATGTGAGCTGTGGGCTTTGCTGCCTCTGGGATCACAAGAGTGAAGCTTGCCAACTAAGACCAGGTGTGGGCAGTTAGGGCAGAGAGACCAAGCTTGACCCTATGAAGCTGGTGGCTGAAGTGAGAGCGATGTGGGACCTGAATCATTGGTGAGCATAGAGGGAGAGCCTGCCAGATTAGACAGGGCTCTGAGGCCAAGCTCTCGAGAGCCCACCCCAGACATATCGGGCAACAGGAGTTGAGTCCTATGTACTGCTGGCCTGCAGGTACAGATGAAAGGAATTCTGCCACTAGAGACTGAGAAAAGTCAAGGGCTTCCTTACAAAAGTTCCATTTCCTGATGATTTAGGTCTAGAAACATCACAGCATCAATAATTGTTGTTGCGTATCTTAATAAAACTCTTCTGAACTTGATTCTCAGATTTTTCAGCTATCAGCCTGAGTAGCCAGGCCTGCAGCCCATTGTACCTCTCTCCCTAAGGGGCAATCAGCCCTGAGCATATCAGAACTTTTTTTTTTATTTTTTCCTTGCTGTGCCTTTAAGAGCTGCTGGAATGCAAAGAGAATCTGGAGGAGGGGTGGGGTCTCCCAAAAGGACTACTAGGAAGAGGATCCTGGGAATCTTTGCCAGAACCAAAGCTGAGATTTCAACTCAGAGAAGTTGGGGGTGGTGTGTGTTGGGTCAGGCCTGTGATTGGACTGCAGGAGGAGGAAAGCAAAAGTAAAAAGGAAAGAGCTGGGGAGAGGGGAAAAGCCCTCCCTGTCCCCCCTCCCCCCACTGCCATGCACACTCACCCAGGCCTAGAAGCAGGGTGCAGCCACTAGCCTGGGGGAAGGTCATTGTGTGTCTGGGGTGATGCCAACAGACGTGAGACCCAGGAAGCTCCCTACCCTGGGTCTATCTACCCGGCAAGGCCTCCAGGGACTGGCTCGCCCACAGCTGGGCTTGATCACAGCTGGGCTCGGAAAGCGAGGTCACGCATCTGGTGGAACAAGAGGACTTTGTTCTTGTGCTGTTTTTAGAGGATTTTCACAGCAACGACTAGAAAGCAGGAGATCACCACCTGGACTCTTGAGTCTTCTTTGAGAGGCACAACCTAGGAGATTTCACCCCCGGGCAGTTTGCAGAACAATGCTGGCCCTTCAGCAAGCTTCTGCTTTCCTGGTTCTGTTCCTTGCAGCTTTTCTGCCCCCACCACAGTGTGCTCAGGACCCAGCCATGGTGCACTACATCTACCAGCGCTTTCGAGTCTTGGAGGTAGGTGGCATCTGTGCACCTGATACTGGAACATGCCTCCTAGAAGTCACCTTATGTTACCCTATGCTTTCCTATCTACTGGGATGCATTTACTGCAGTAATAAATGATAAATATTGCTTAAGTTACACTTAAAATTTTTTATATTCCAGTGGTTTTGAGCACCAGAGTCCAGACTGCACCATTCCTGGACTTTGAGCAGGGCTTCCCTCTGCAGTTTTTCTCATCTGTAAAATGGGGATGAAAATTGAATTTACCTCCTAAAGCTATTCTGAAGATTTAATAAATTGATCTATGCTTAGAACGTTGCCTGACATGCTGGTAAATGTCCAAAATGTTATTCAGAGTTCAATTTTTAAAATACAAAAACTTAAAAATTTGGTCACTTTTCTTCATTTTTACTATATCAGGATGATGGCCAACTTTAGCTTTTCTTTTTGTCTTTTTCTGAGAAACCATTAGGTCACTATAAAAAGTCACAATATTATTGTACCAAGAAGCAGTCTTAGCTTTTGCCAAACTGGATTTGGATTTAGAAATGAGCAGATTTCAGCAATGTTAAACAGAGAAGAAGTGTTTGGGCCCTCTTCTCATATGTTGCAGCTACAGTTTCATTAAAATTTGCAAAACCCAAAACTTTTCCTGCACGAACTGGCTCCCGCGGACAAATATAACCCTCTGCCCTAGCCTTTGACACAACCCTGGTGTGGACATTGACTCTTTCATACTTAATTGCCTAGCTTTTGTACAAGTTAAATTTTGATAAAATATTTATCTTCTTTCAAAGACACTCTTATCTCCAATATTTATTTTCAATATTTTCCTGAAAAATCTTAAAGTCCAAGTTATTTGGTCATCTAGTTACAGTCAGGGTTAAATAATTCCACAGAGTGGCCAAACACATTGTCTAATGTTGTCCAGCTAACATGCTGAGGCCTAGAGGTGGTGAATGAAATGCTCTCAAGCCAGGGGCCTCTTGCTGCTTCTTTACTTGCTATCTCCTCAGACACTTCCTCCCCCGTCTCACCTCCTTAAAAGTGCCAGAATTAGGTTCAATCATTACGTTTAGCACAGAGTTACTCAACATTTTAAGAAATATATTTATATATGTATGAATAAATGCATGCAAACTCTTAAAAAATGATACATTCTAAGTATCAATAATAGTATTTTGAGTTAAAAAATTGTGGGTGATTTTTATTTCCCCCCTTTTTGGTTATTTTTACTTTTAAAATCTTTATGGATGATAGCTATTTTATTACTATAAAAAATTGTAATTTCAGTAACTATCAATAATTTGGCAATTTGTTTTCTGACCGAAGCAAGGACTGGAAAAATGTACCCAAGAGACAAGGGCATACATTCAAGACTTCCGTGAGTTCTCAAAAAACATATCTGCTATGCTGGGAAGATGTCAGACCCACACAAGTGAATATAAGAGTGCAGTGGACAACTTGGCAATGAGAGTCGAACGTGCCCAACGGGAGATTGACTATCTAGAGTACCTGCGAGCAGCTGACGTGTGCATAGAATCAGAGGACAAAATGCTGGCAGAAAAGCTAGTCCAAGATGCCGAAGAAGAAAAAAAGATCCAGACTCTGCTGAATGCAAGTAAGAGAGCTTTGTCTTTTATACTCTTCTAGGGACTGTCACTCAGACACTTGGTGCAGGACGAGTCTGCCCGAGAATCAAAGAAAGAGCTGGATGTGTGCCCATGCTGGGAGGGAAATCTTAGCAGGGAACAAGTGTCCAAAGGAAAATCCATTCTCAGAGAATAGTTTTTCCTTTCACAGGGAGTTCCTAAAGGTCGCATAGAAGGTCAGGGCTACAGTGTCAGAGGTCAGCCCAAGAAAGGCATCTTCTGATAGACCTTGGTTTGGCAGAGGCAAGTGGTCCCAGATCCTTTCAGGGAGAGTGACAGTGCTCTGAGAATAGGGAGAGGCTGCAAATATGCCAGGCAGCAGCCAACCCTCAGGCCTGGAGACTACAGTGAATTATTATTGTGCGTGCTGTTGGGATGGTGATATCCGGGGAGTTTGTCTCCTATCTTGTGATCCATCGGAATCACTTTCAAGCCATTAAGAAAAATGTTTAGGAACTCAAATATAATAACAAGTATCAAGCAACAAAAAACATACAAGAGAAGGAAAATGTCCTATGCATGAATTCACTTTATTAAAGCAGTGAGGGAGACTGGCTCAGAGTCCGTATTCTGAGATAGTTTTACTACAAACAGGAAAACTTTGTTTATAGACTAATTAAATCTGCTCCAAATTTGAAAAACTCCATCAGGGACATAAGACATAAGCTGAGTGCCATTGTTGTGTTAAGGGTTCCAAATATCTTTTCAATGTAATTCTTATAAGAACTCCATAGGTCTTCTTAAATGAGGTGACAATGGATCTGAGTTTTGAACAAAGAAATCAGAGAAGAATGTGCAGAGCACACACCTGGAATGATGGGCAGCTAATCTATACCCCATTCACAGAAGACACCGAGACCATGGGCCAGAGAGCCCTGCACTCCATTCTGAATGCTGCTATCATGATCAGTGTTATTGTTATGACTATTCTCCCAGTCAATCTATATAAATACAGGTGCTACAAGGTGAAAAAAAAAATGATGGCATAACATGTCAAAGGCATGAGAATATGTAACACTTTGACATATAGAGACCTGCAGATATGGCTGAGTAGACCTCTATGGGGCAGTGAGTATAGGAGAGCAAGATTGAAGAGTTCAGCAGAATCTAGATAACAAAAGACCTTGCATGCTAAGTTAACGGGGTTGGACTTAACTTGGGAAACTATAGAGAACCACTGAAAAATTTTAAGCAGGGGCATGACATGAAGGGAGAGGGAAAGACTAGAGAAGGAGACCCAGTCAGGGGGATACTGCAGTAATTTGGGCAACAAGTGGTGGAGTCTGCATTAAGTGTAGGTGAGATGGAGACGAGCAGATGGATTTGAGAGCCACTAAGAGTTGAAATCCACATGGCTTGGTGACTGATCATTAAAAGTGAAGTGAGCGAGAAGGACACATCCAGGATGCTTCCTGGGTTTTTGGCTTAGGCTATGGGGTGGTTGGTCTGAAATATGTTGAGATAGGAAACCAAAGAGGAGTTTTAGAGCTCCTATTACTCTACATTTGGTGGGGGGAGGGTGGGGTGCGGGTGGAGGGAGTAATTATTACTCTGAAATCTTCTAGTTTACTTATTTGCTCACTGCTTGTTTTCTGCCTCTGCATTTAGAATGTCATCTTTATGAGAGCCTAGATCCTGCATTTCATATTCAATGCTGTGTCCCAGTACCTAGCATAGTGTTTATGTTCATCGAACATTTGTCAGTAAATAACCAAGTGAATAAATGAGTGAATGGATGGAGAGCTTATCAGCACAGACAGAGGGGCTATTAGGCTTTGAAAGCAAAGAGAAGATCTTATCTCTGGGTCAGAAGGCAGAGAGGAGGGTGCCTTATCTATGACAGAAAGCAATTGACTGAGTTGGTCAAGTGAGTGATCCTTTTTGGCCTTGACACTGTCATGAGATGAATCGTCTGCAGAAGAAGCAACTGGGGCTAAGCATGTGGTGAGGGAAGGATGAAAGGGCAAGGATGAGCCAGCAGATGATCAATTGGAGGCTGTCTAAAAAGCTGATGGGGAGAATTGGGTGCTAAGGTGGCCCGAGCTAGAATATGCCTGAACTTTCATGCCAGGGTTCAGGCAGGACCCCAAGCCTGAACGGTTGTACTGGATTGGATCCCTGAGCTGCTCCTGGTCCCTGAACACCCTAAGCCCCTCAGGCCTTGAGGTTGCCCCTTTCCACTCTAGCTCAAGCTCAACAGAGGTCCTGAGTTTGGACTTGCTGCTTGTTCAACCCTCATCCTCTGCCTTATCCCTCAGACACCTGAGGCCTGAAATATTCCCACTCCCAGCTCCGGGGTGAGTGAAAATTTCTCTTTTAACTTTCCAGAGATTGCTCTTTTCATGACAGTTGCCTCTGGGACCCTTATTTGGTGATTTGTTGGTTTGTGATTAGCAACCACATTTTGCCCTCCACTGTTGGATGGGCCCTGTGCTACACAGTAGGGATGGAGGAGTGAGTAGAACATGCTACATCCTGCACTAGCTTTCCTACTGCTTCTTTACCTCTGGTCTTACCTCCTACAATTCAACTGCTATCATGCAGACCTTCCCACAACACAAAATGGATCATACTACTCCTCTGGGTAGAATTTTAGTATGTATGTATGTATGTATGTATGTATGTATATATGTCATTCACCATCAATTACCAGCAACAAAAAAAATTCATTTGAATCTCTTAGCCTTTTTCATGGGGGAAGGCCTTCACGAAGTGGCCCAAGCTCACCTCCAGCTTCTTCTACTCTCATAACTTACCCATATGCAGTTGCATTTAAAAACATAAATATTGTTTTTTCTACCCATCTATTATAACTCAAAAATGCTGCAGATTCTGCATGAAGACCTCCCTCTACCTCTAGGCAGATCGGCTCATTTCATTCCATCCTCCAAGGGAGCACTGACACTTCCAACCACACACATCTGTGTGTATTTGATTCCTCAATGAGACCATGAACATATTAACATCTTAATTCCTGCATTGGTAAGGGCGTCTCATGGAGGAGGCTGCAAAAATTATCTATAGCAGAGATGCTGATGGCAGGACCCTCGGAGTTTAGATGGGGAAAGACAAACCTGTAAATGATCACAAGCATATGATTAGTGCTCCTTGGCCTGTTATTTTCAGAGGTTCTCTGCCCAGAGAGAGACTTTGGGATGCCAGTTTGTTTCCCTGCCCTGCACTGTTTCGAATTTTACACACTGTGCCCATCTCCCACTTTTTTGCCATTTCTGTTAATAATTATATCTATCTTAGTATTCTAATGCTGTGTTACAAATTAGCACCAATTTAGCAGCTTAAAACAGTACACATTTATTATGTCAGAGTCTCTGTGGTTCAGGAATCCAGGCACAACTTAGCGGGACCCTTTGTTCAAGGTCAAGGTGTCAATTGGGCTACATTCTCACCTGAAGCTCAGGGTTTTCTTTCAAGCTCACCAAGGTTGTTGGCAGAATTCACTTTCTAGTGGTTGTAAGACCTAGGCCCTCAGCTTCTAGAAGCCACCCTTCTCCATAGGCAGCTCACAAAGTGGCTGTTGCTGCTTCAAGACCAGGAGAGTGCCTCTCTTCAGGAAGTGCACAGTTCCTCTTTTAAGAATTTTTATCTAATTTAAGGCAGGCCCACTCATGATAATTTTTATTTTGATTAACTCAAAGTCAACTGATTTGGGACCTTAATTATAGCTGCAAAATCCTTTCAGCTTTAACTTATAATGTAATCTAGTCAAGGAGTGTTATTCTATCTTATTGCCAGGTCCTGCCCTCAATCAAGGGGAGGCGATTATGTAGGGTGTGTTTACCAGGGGATAGGAATCTTGGGGGCCATCTTAAAATTCTGCCAACCAAGTTGCCCTATTCTGCTAGGCCCAGCTGGTGCTACTAATTATCTGTATCCACCCTGTTCCTACAAGTCTCCCACCTTTCTGTCTTCTAACCTTGGCCTGCAGAGACTGAGCCAGCTGTAGAACTTCCACTAAAATCTTTAGACTCAAGTCAGCAGTCTTGTATGGGCAAACACCCTGGGATTGTGGGATAGGGAGGGGTCGCCAGAGGTCACATCACAGGGTTTCATTCATACATGCACTCTGTCTTTGAAAGTTTCTTCAGAAAACCTGCAAGAAGGGAATAATGCAACTTCCTTGGAAAATTCAACCTTGTATCTCAAGAGTGGACCAGAAAATTCTAACATCAGTCTAACATCAGTCTAAATGATTTTTATTTATTCTAGGAATGTTTCTTGGGCAACTCTGAAGGGCCAGATACTGGGGATAATTAATAAGATAGTGTTGCTCTGTAATTAAGCCATTCCCTATAGAGTTGGTCTTATCTTCAACCTTGAATTAGAGAAGATCCCCAAAGATGTTCATATGAGGCCCACAATCCCAGGGATGTTTGGGGGTTACATAAAATTCTTAGGATCTTAATTCTAACACACATTCATACCCCCTCTCTTTCTCCCTCCTCTCTCTTTCACATGCACATGTGTGTGCCTACACACACACACACACACACACACACACACACACACACACTTTAGAATGCAATGAGTGAAAGTTATTTGAATACAATTTTATATTTAAAAAATCATTCCCTGGTTTTGATTCTTTAATTCTTATTCATATAAAGATATTTTGTATTGTACTTGACAATTTATGGCAAAACACCATTGCCTCAGATACCCAGATTGGGAACTTATCTCACTAAAAGTCCCATTCCCCAGCCTGCATTCTCATGTGGATAAGAGTATTAACCTCTTTTTAACTTGTAAATAGCTTGAAGAAAAATTCTCAAAGCAGTCAAAACAAGACATTATAGCAGATTTTATTTTATTTACTGTTTTATTTAGTCCAGCTCCTTTTATTACAAGGGTGCATGCAAATTACTTCAAGTAACCCTCTCCCTGCTGAATTAAATAACTCATATCTTTTGTTAGATCATATTTGGAAGAAGAAAGTCTGTGCTGCAAATTT